ACTCTGGTACACAGCTTGGTGAGGATGGGGTGGAAGACTCTCTCCTCCTCTTTCTGTTGATGTTCAAATTCTTCCTTCTCAGCAGTCTGATTCTTATCAAGCCAGCTGATAATGTCATTACACCTGTCCAGAATCTTCTGTGTGTCCTCATCGTTAATCTTGCCTTGAAGTTTCTCATCTTTGACAGTTGCTTTCATGTTGAATGCATAGGACTCAAGTGAATTCTTAGATGACACTTTGTCCCTCTGCTTCTTATCTTCAGCTTTGTACTTTTCAGCTTCCTGGACCATACGTTCAATGTCTTCCTTGCTCAAATGGCCCTTGTCATTAGTGATAGTATCTTGTTCTCTTTTCCTGTACTCTCGTCCACAGCAGACACATTGAGGATGCCATTGGCATCAGTGTCAAAAGTGACTTCAGTCTGAGGAACACCTCGGGGTGCAGGAAGTATGCCTGTGAGTTCAAACTTGCTAAGCAGGTTGTTATCCTTGGTCATGGCATGCTCACCTTCATAAACCCGAATAAGCACACCAGGCTGGTTGTCAGAATAGGTAGTGAAGGTCTGTGTCTGCTGGTAGGAATAGTAGTATTACGCTTGATGAGGAAGGTCATGATTCCACCAGCAGTTTCAATACCAAGGGAAAGGGGAGTGACATCCAAGAGAAGCCAATCTTGAACATTTTCAGACTTGTCTCCAGACAGGATGGCAGCCTGGATAGCTGCACCATAAGCAACAGCTTCATCAGGGTTGATGCTCTTATTCAGTTAATTTCCACTGAAGAAGTCTTGGAGAAGCTTCTGAATCTTGGGGATGCGAGCAGAACCACCAACAAGGACAATATCATGAATCTGTGACTTGTCTAGTTTGGCACCTCAAAGGGCCTTCTCTATGGAGGCCAGGGTGCCACAGAACAGGTCAGCATTCAATTCTTCAAAATGGGCACGGGTAATGGAGGTATAGAAGTCGATTCTAATCAATCTCAATACTGGCCTGGGTGCTGGAAGAGAGAGTCTGCTTAGCAAGCTCACAAGCAGTAAGGAGGCGTCTTGCAGCTCTCTTGTTCTCACTGATGACTTTCTTCTGCTTGTGCTTGAACTCAGCAATAAAATGGTTGACCATTTGGTTATCGAAATCTTCTCCACCCAAGTGGGTGTCTCTGGCTGTAGACTTGACCTCAAAGATTCCATCCTCAATAGTGAAGATTGACACATCAAAAGTGCCACCTCCCAGGTCAAAGATCAGCACGTTTCTTTCTGCTCCAACCTTTTTGTCTAAGCTGTAAGCAACAGCAGTAGCAGTCGGCTCATTAATAATTCTAAGTATATTAAGACCAGCAATAGTTCCAGCATCTTTGGTAGCCTGATGCTGAGAGTCATTAAAATAAGTGGGCACTGTGACCACAGCATTGGTAACAGTCTTCCCAAGGTAGGCTTCTGCAATTTCCTTCATCTTTGTCAGAACCACAGAGGATACCTCCTCTGGATAGAAGTCTCTCCCTTGTATTCTACTTGGACCTTGGGCCGGCCAGTATCATTCACCACCATGAAGGGCCAATGCTTCATATCAGACTGGACAACGGCATCATCAAATCTGCGCCCAATCAGACGTTTGGCATCAAAAACCGTGTTGGTGGGGTTCATTGCAACTTGATTCTTTGTGGCATCACCAATCAATCGCTTTGTGTCCGTAAAGGTGACATAGCTTGGAGTGGTTTGGTTTCCCTGATCATTGGCAATTATTTCTACTTTTCCGTGCTGGAAAACACCCACACAAGAGTAGGTGGTGCCAAGATCAATACCAATGGCAGGTCCCTTCGACATGGTTGCTGGTGCGCAGGCCTGGCCCCAACAATGAAGAAAGCCACAGGAATCCCGAGAGCTGCAGGAGAGTTCAACGAGAACCTATGTTATTTTTTGAGAGAGTTTCACTCTGTTGACCAGGCTGGAGTGCACTGGCATGATCTAGGCTCACTGCAACCTCTGCCTCCCAAGTTCGAGTGATTCTCCTGCCTCAGCCTCCTGAGTAGCTGGGATTATAGGCACACCCCACTATGCCTAGCTAATTTTGTTGTTGTTGCTTGTGTTTTTTTGAGATGGAGTCTTGTTGCTGTCGCCCAGGCTGGAGTGCAATGGCATGATCTCGGCTCACTGCAATTTCCACCTCCCAGGTTCCAGCAATTCACTTGCCTCAGGCTTCTGAGTAGCTGAGATTACAGGCACCCACCACCACACCCAGCTAATTTTTGTATTTTTAGTAGAGACGAAGTTTCACCATGTTGGCCAGGCTGGTCTTGAACTCCTCCTGACTTCAGGTGATCCACCCCCACCTCAGCCTCCCAAAGTGCTGGGATTACAGGCGTGAGCCACCACATCCGGCCTCATTTTCGTATTTTCAGTTGAGACGGGGTTTCACCATGTTGGCCAGTCTCGAACTCCTGACCTCAAGTGATCTGCCTGCCTAGGCCTCCCAAGTGCTGGGATTACAGGCGTGAAACACCACACCTGGCCTGTGCCTGCATTTAAATCTTAGGTTTTCGCACTTCTCAACCATTTGACTTGGCTTAGCTGCTTGGTATCCCAGTCTCCTCCAGAGCAGATATGGCGACACACCTATCTGTCAGGGTTGCTGTGAGAATGGAAAAGTCCATGCAGAGCACTTGAAGTACCAGGGCCTGGCATATTCTCTATGGATGGGGAGCAGAAGAGTGAAGGGGTTGCTGGAGGTCCTAGTACCCTGCAAAGGGTTAGCACAGAACTGGACAGGCAGAGAGCTCTCAATACACGTGCACGCTGTCACTGAACACTGCACTTCAAGACTGATTCCAGCCATGTGGACCTTCTCCCCGGCTTCTGCAAAGTCTCCCACTCTCTAGGCCTGGAGAACTCTGCACTGGCAGTCCCCTTCCTTCTTCCCACCCAGTTGATTCCTCTTTGCTCTTCCAGTCTCAGCTCCAGCACCCTCTCTTCCTGATGCTTTCTTTCTTTCTTTTTTTTTTCAAGATGGAGTCTCGCTCTGTCGCTCAAGTTGGAGTGCAGTGACATGATCTCAGTTCATTGCAACCTCCGCCTCCCGGGTTCAAGTGATTCTCCCACCTCAGCCTCCTGAGTAGCTGGGATTACAAGTACGTGCCACCACACCTGGCTAAGTTTTGTATTTTTAGTAGAGACAGGGTTTCTCCACGTTGGCCAGGCTGGTCTCAAACTCTTGACTTCAAGTGATCCATCCACCTTGGCCCCTCAAAGTGCTAGAATTAAAGGTGTGAGCCACCACGCCCGGCCTGGCACAGTATCAATTCATATATTCTTCATAACAACTTTAGAAAGGTAAAGTACTCTTATTAGCACCATTTTACAGGTGAAGAAACTGAGTACAGAAGAGGTTAAGTAATTTACCCAAGTTAATGGGCTAACGAGGGGCAAAACAGAATGAAACCTGGGTAGAACGAGCCCAGAGCCCATGCCTGTCCACATTCCTCCCTCGCTTCTTGAGCTAGGGGCCATGTCTGTGCTCAGGACATTGCCTGCCCTGGCCACTCCAGTCCATGCTTTAGTGATCATTTATTATACGGCAGGTACTGTTGCCTGCTTTCATAAATATTGCCTGATAGAATTCTCACAGCCAGCCCAGGGAGGTAATATCAACCAGCCCATTTTGCAGATGAGAACTCCAAGGTGGGACACACTGCCAGTAAATGGTAGAGCCAGCTTTGGGTCATGCTGGCTGGGCCTGCCTCAAACCTTCTCTCAGTTCTTTCCCACTGCCTTAGGGAAGAGATTTCTTTTTCCCCTGTATTAGGCTCCCCGGCTTCCCTCACCTTTCCTCCAAGAAAAAGAAAGACGGGGAGAGAACCGGAGAGAGAGACCAGGAAGGGGACCGGGGCTGGAGGGCGAGACAGGTTGGAGAGACTCACAAAGATCCCCTGCACGTGCTTTCTATCAGCGCACGGACAGTGGTTCCAGGCGCCCAGCAGATGGCAGGATGTAGCCAAAGATTCCCCGCAGTCCGGAGAGCTGGGCCCGCAGGATTGCAAGGCAGGGGGACCTGCCTGTCCCTCAGGGAGCGTACTGGGAACCTGCGCTCGCCCCACAAGCCTCGGGGCGCATCTGCTGCACCCTGTACATAGGCACCCGCAACCGTGGCACGTATCTCCTGCCGCGGGAGCCCAGACACCCAGATGCGAGCCTCGCCCCTACATCGGACGCCGATGCTGCCCAATTTTGGGGGAATCCCGAGATTCCTGCACAGCCATTCCCGGGGAGAATGATTTGGGGCAAACGACGGCTCTCTTGGGCCTCAGTTTCCCCATGTACAATGAAGGAGTCAGATTAGTTCCAGAGGGTCTAGATACTTTCATTCATGAAACACTGGGAGGAACCTTAAGAGGAGCCGCGTCGGCTGGAGAGCCAGGAGACACTCCACTGCCCGTCCCAACACGAATGCGCAAATACAGCCCAGCGGAGAGCCCTGGGGTCCCCTTCGCAGCCAGGGCCGACTAACCACAGGCCTAAGAGCCCCTTTCCCTCTGGACCTCCGTCTACCGCGCTCTACAAAGGAACGACGCTTTCTCACTGCTGGGTTGTTGGAAGCGGATGTAGGATGGTGCTAACAAAGCGCGTAGTCGGGGCCTGGCCAGGGTGGGTGCTGACCAACCGTTACTGCCTGGAGGGAGCCAGCTCCGGCCGAGGGAGCAGGCCAAGCAGGGACTCAGACTCCTCGGGCCGATCCGGGTCTCAGCCCCCACCGCCCCGCCACCGCCCCCCGCGCGCGGCCTCCGCGCATCCCCTCCTCCACCGCTCCCGCCCCGCCTCCCGCGCCGCCTCGCGTCCCCCGCCCGCCCGCTGTAGCCGGCGAGGAGCGCGGCACGTTGGCCCCGGCGCCAGGGGCTCCCGGGTTCGCTGGCGGGCGCCGGCGTGAGGAGCGCAGCCCGGGGCGGGGCAGGGCAGAGGGCTGGGCGGGCGCGGGGTCCCTGCGAGCGCAGTCTGAGGGGCGCCCGGGAGGAGGGAGCCGCCGTCCCGCCCCTGCGCGGCGCTCGGCCCCCTCGGGCTCCGCGCGCGGCTACAACCTGGGCAGGGCGCGCTCCGCGCGTCCGGCATCCCGCATCCTGCATCCCGCGTCCCCGCGGCCGGGCATGTAGCAGCGGCAGCAGCGGCGGAATATGGGCGGGAACCACTCCCACAGGCCCCCCGTGTTTGACGAGAATGAGGAAGGTAAGAGGGCGTGGGGCGCCACTTCCCGCCACGCGCCGCGCCGCTCGGGCAGGGGCTGGGCCTCCCCTCCCTCCGTCACCCTCGGCCGAGCCCTGCGGGGCGCCGCGTGCTGCCCGGCGCGGGGACCCAGGCGCGGCCACTTCGCCCAGCTCCTGCAGAGTGTGCCCGACCCCGTGCCAGGCGCGGCGCTTCTGCCCAGGCAACTCCCCGGCACCCAGTGCCCTGTAGGGGTCGGGACGGTGCCCAGCGCGGGGCTGGGGAGGCGGCTTCTGAGAGGCGAACCTGAAACCTGCACTTGGGGTTGTGGAAGGAGGAGTAGACTTCGGAGGTCGCTCGGGAGGTTTCTAGGCTTGGGCTCTCCAGGAAGCTGAGGTTTCTTTGAGATCCAGAGGCTGACGGAGGTGGCCTGGGTGGGCGGATTGCACCGTGTGTGTGTGTGTGTGTGTGTGTGTGTGTGTGTGTGTGCCTGTTGGATGCAGCTGTCCTCAATCACCCAGGGAAACTTTTCTTTGCTAAACTCCGTGGCTCCGAGAAGGGCGTCCTGCTTTCTCTCCGCAGCCTCCCCGGTGCAGATGTGGTGTAGGCTGTCCAACCACATCTAAACTTCCTGGCTGGGTCCTTGCAGTTCAGGTCGATAGAGCTCAGTATTTGGACTAGCAGAACCCTCTTTCCAGTGTGGCATGTCTCTGGAAAACTGACTTCACCTCTCTGAAACATTAGTCTCCTTACCTATGGAATGAGAGTTATGATACCACTTGCTACTTTATAGGGCTGTTTGAAGCTTAACTATTAGTAATGCACGTGAAAAGTGCCTTATAAATGCAAGCAGTACTGAGCTGCGCGTTTATTATCTGTGAAGAGCCCTATGCCTCTCAAAGCTGGTTTCCTGCTGTGCTGACTCGCCAGTCTCCACTGTGCCCCAGTTAAGTGCTGAGACTTAGTGAGCACTTACTATGTTCCAGGTATGCTAGCACTTAGTGTTCACTCAGTCCTTTTCATGCCCCTTGAGGTGGCTGCCTTAGAAAGGGGGCTGTCCGCTTTTTCAACATGGTGAAACCCTGTCTCTTGTAAATATACACAAAATTAGCCAGGCGTGGTGGCAGGCGCCTGTAATCCCAGCTACTCAGGAGGCTGAGACAGAAGGATCGCTTGAACCCGGGAGGGGGAGGTTGTGGTGAGCGGAGATCGCGCCACTGCACTCCAGCCTGGGCAGCAGAGCAAGACTGAGTCTCAAAAAAAGTAAGTAAACAAAATAAAAAGAAAGGGGCTGTCCTGGTTATAGCTGGTAAGAAGTAGAGCTGGCCTTGAGGCAGGACAGTCTGCTTTGAAAGCTGTGCCTGTCATCATTGCCCAGGGCATTGGTTCGTGTGCATAGATCACGCATGGCTTCTAGAATTCCCAAGGCTGTGAGTGCTACTCAGATGCCCACCTGGACAGCCCTTCCCAAAAAGATAGATGAATGCAGTCAAGATTAAGTGAGCACCTGCTTTGTAAGGCCCTTGCGATCCTTGCTTAAAGGAGTTCCTAGTATAATAGCCCTGAATGACCATCCATGGTGATAAGGGCATTGAGAAACCAGTGCAGGGTCTTGGGGGCACAGAGAGGCCCCAGCTTTTCCTGGTCTTTAGTCTGGAGCATGTGCAGGTAAGGAGCCAGCTGTGGACAGAGGAGAGGTAGGCACGGAGATAATAGAGGCTCTTGTGTGTCCCAGGAAGAGTTTGAACACCACACAGCATCACCCTCCATAGCAGGGGTTTGTGGTTCTAGCCTGGGTCAAAGGTCATGCTTTGGGTAATTTTCCTAGCATCTTTCTCTTTTATTTACAGAGGGAATTTGCCACCCTTATATTGAAAACTGTCTCTATCCCTTACCCCCAGCTTGAAAATATTCATTGGCAAACTATTTATCTCTGGTGTAGCCAACCTTTTGATTTTCTTATTCCTGTTCCTCATTCTACAAGCAGATTGGGCCTAAGGTTAAGTGCCTGTTAAATACAAGGTTAGGAGGCGGGGCGTGGTGGCTCATGCCTGTAATCCCAGCACTTTTGAGGCAGGCAGATCACTTGAGGTCAGGAGTTCAAGGCCAGCCTCACCAAAATGGTGAAACCCTGTTTCTACTAAAAATACAAAAGTTGGCCTGGCATGGTGGCGGACACATGTAATCGCAGTTACTAGGGAGGCTGGGGCAGGAGAATCACTTAAGCCGGTAAGATGGATGTTGCAGTGAGATGAGATTGCACCATTGCACTCCAGCCTGGGCACCAAGAGTGAAACTCGTCTCAAAAATAAATAAATAAATAAATAAAAGAAATACCAGGTTAGGGCTCTTCTCATTTTGCTAGCTTCTAGTCCAGTGGAACATTATCTTGTTTAATTTTTGCAGTATATTTCTCACACATTTCCTTGTACAGGTAAAGCAGTGTTACTTGCCACCAACCGACTCATTTATTTCATAGGCATTTACTGATCATAGTTTCTGCACCTATCCCTGTGCTGGGCACCAGGAATATGAGGAGGATGAAGGCAAAGTGTTAACAATTAAGGAGCTCCCTCCTAGAGCAAGTAAACCACCAGGACAAAACAGGGTGTGTAAGTGCCCCAACGTGGGTGAGCTCAGGTGACTCTGATACCCTGGAGGAGGGTCCCTAACTTAGAGCGGGGAGGAGGGATCTGAAAAGGTCTCCTCTTTTAGACTAGAATCTTGCAGAAACGGCAGGAGTTACCCCAGGGAAGAAGTGGGTGATGGGGGGGGGCAGGAAGGATGTTTCAGAGAAAGGGAAGAGTATGTGCAAAGGCAGAGAGTAAAGAGTAAGCCTGGCTCATGTCGTGGTGGGGGGCACTGAGGGGGTTTAGTACTCCTGCATTGTGGAGTGTGAAGCTGGAAGGCACAAAAGATGAACCTGAATACCTGGCCGGCTTCAAAGGGCCAGTGACCATGGTCAGGTGTTTTTGACTTGCTTTTGGAGTCACTGAAGGGTTTTAAGCAGGAAGTGACATGGTCCAGTGAACAAACAAGCTCTCCCAAACCATAGTCATTGTGTGGTTGAAGGCTGAAGATGCAAACACCTGCCAGACCGGAACAAGTCTGACTTTTAAGTACCTTGATGCTAAACCACAGCTAAAAACTTGCCATTGTGTAATTGTGACAGGACCATCATCCACATTCTTATGGCAAAAGTTTAACTCATTGTATGCAAGTGGTCATAGCTGTTCATGCTCCCATGATACATCATAAGCAGAGAAAGGATCATGCCACAGATTAATTGGCAGTGTTTCTTTTTTCTAAGTGGTGCATAAAATCATGGTGGCTTTACCGTGGATGGCATCTAAGATTTTGTATGTTAGCTGAACCTCCTCCAGTTGCAAATGATGGAAAAGCAACATTAAGTGCTTTAAAAAAAAAAAAAAACAAAAAAAACCCAAAGGGTCTCACTCTGTCACCCAGGCTGGAGGGCAGTGGCAGGATCTTAGCTCACTGCAGCCTCGACTTCCCAGGCTCAAGGGATCCTTCCATCTCAGCCTCCCAAGTAGCTGGGGCAATAGGCTTATACCACCATGCCTGGCTAATCTGTAATTTTCTTTTTTTTTTTTTGGTAGAGTCAAGGTCTGACTCTGTGCCCAGGCTGACAAAGTGCATTTAAGGGAATGTTTTGGCTCTGGCCATTTCTTGCCTTCTCCATCGCCACCATTCTTGTCCAAGCCATGGTCACAGCTCTTGCTTGGATTATTACAATTGCCTGGGCTGTCATTATTCCCATAAGTGTCCCTCAATGCAGCGGCCAGAGTGATCCTGTTAAAATATGCAACTGGCCAGATCAGTTCTCTGCTCTGCTCAGTCCACCCGCAAACCCTCCCTCCAGCCCTGGGCACAACCTGCATTATTGAGAGAACAAAAACTGAAGTCCTTATAGCTGCCCATCAGGTGCTCCCCTCTGAGATGGCACCTTCCTCTTTCATTCTCGGCTTACCTGCCTCCTTCCTGCTCCTCTGACATGCCCTGAACCCTCAAACCATAGTCCTGGTACCTGCCCCTCTTGCCTAAGGGCATTTGCCCTATAGCCCACTCTCCCTTCAGGTCTCCAGAAAAGTGTTATTGACTCATTAGACCCTGATTGACCACCCTACTTAAAATGTCAGTCCAAATCCTTTTTCTTGCCTTATTTTTCTTTCATGGCAGTTGTCACCATCTGTTATACTATTTATTTTATTTATTTTTTTGCTTATTGTCTGTCTCCACTCAGTGCAAGTACCTTAAGTCAGGATCCCCAACCCCTGGGTCATGGACTGGTATTGGTCCATGGTCTGTGGGAACTGGGCTGTCAGCAGGAGGTGAGTGGCAAGCAGGAAGCATTAACGCCTGAGTTCTACCTCCTGCCAGATAGATCAGCAGCAGCATTAGATTCTCACAGGATCTAGGTTGTGCACATGCGCAGCTCACAGTAAGGAACTGTGAGAGATCTAACACCTGATGATCTGAGGTGGAACAGTTTCATCCCAAAACCATCGTTCTCCTGTCCATGGAAAGATTGTCTTCCATGAATCCAGTTCCTGGTGCCAAAAAGGTTGGGGACCACTGCCCTACTACATACAGAGATCTTACGTGATTGTTTCTTCTGAAGGAGTTACAAGCTCCTTAAGGTAGGAATTTTGAATGGTTTGTTCACTTCTGTATCCCTAAGGCCTACAACAACACTGGGAACATCTGGTAAATTTTTGGTGAATAAATGAATGAGTGAATGAACGAAGGTGTTGGTCTCATCAGCCATGGCTGGAACCAGGCTCCCCGTAATATCAAGAGTCTTCATTCCTGGATTCTTTGCCTCATTCTCAGGCGGGCTCTCTCTTCACGGGGCTCCCACTGCCTCCATGTTGGTATATTCAGAACTCTGAGTATGTAAAAGCGACGATCTTTCTCATAGTAGTTGTAGAAAATGTCCCAGGGTTACTTCTGATGGACTCTAATTGAGTCTCGGGTATCCTTGAATCAATTACTGTGAGCAG